AGAGAGAGAGAGAGAGAGAGAGAGAGAGAGAGAGAGAGAGAGAGAGAGAGAGAGAGAGCAGGAGGAGCACTGCAGGGCATGCGTTTTTGAAAATGAGCAAGACATTCTGTATATTCTGTTTGAATAGAACATGTGTGTTCGAATAGAACACACATGCGTTCTATTCGAGCAGAACATACGTGGGTGCTATTTGGATTTCAGGGGGCGACTTCAAGAAATCTACTTTTCCAGGGAAAGTTGAGTAGTACATACGTGCGTTTTGTTCGGGGGAAGACTGTAGGCACTGCATCCACATGGCCATGGGACTGGAGAGCCCTCTTATGTGAAGCCTGGTCTTCTCGCACGGACTGTCTCTTTGAAATAATATGTCCATGACGGGGACAAGAGCTGTCATTTGGGCCCTTCGGCAGAAACGGTACATACACACGATTGAAAGAGTCAGAATAGAGGGGGAGGAGGTCACTGAAATGGTTATGTAATATATTCAGGAAGAAATCATGGCACAGTGGCAAAGTGTGAAAGCAAAACTGGATCTGTTTCAAATGAAAAATGACATAATGCAAGCCATTAAACAATTTGCCAGGGAATGGCTGGGGAGGGATGGCAGGATAGCCCACACTCGATTGGAGGGGGGACAGTCTCCGGAAGGGGGTGGCGACGAGCTCAGAAGGGACTATTGTGTCTGCTTTAATGACTGGACCAAGGTAGATGCTGCAGTTCCTCTGCGTCCTCCTCCTGATTTCCCCCGATCCCTTTCCACCCCATGGCCTCTCCATCGTGGATCTACAGTGGTACGGAGCGGTATAGGAGGCCTCAGCCTCGGAATCCGCAAGACAGCGGCACTGTCGGACCAAGAGAATGAGAGTTCGTCAAGGAGTGGTAAAGACGATAGCATTGTCAAACCCTCTCGTGTGTATCCTTTTGCCTGCTCAGTCAATCCCCTGGTTTCAGGGTAATCAATGCTGGCAGGATGGCAGTGAGTTCAGATGTTCAGGGATCTTCAATACGCAGTCCTGCAGGAGAGTAAGTACAGCTCTATAAACTTGCAGGAGAGCAACTCTATCTCTGCATACCAGAATGATGACAATGTTCAGGGACGCTGGACCCGATTTCCGGCAGGTGCTGCTCCCCAACAATAGATGGAGCCTCCCAAGATTCCAAGAATGCTAGGGGTGCCCGCTCTTATGAGCACCCCTAGCATCCACCCGGGTGTTAAAAAAGAAAAAGGAAAAAAAACATTGTATTTCCTTGTGAATTTGCACTTCGGAATTGACCAGGATCGTAACATTTTACAGAAACTTCTGCGAAAAGCATTTGCCAACGATGCTCTCATCAATCAAGAACGAAGTTAGCGGATCAAAGACAATATCAGAAGATAGATCGGAAGATAGACAGATGAGACAACCACATCTTTACCTAATATTGCCAGTCTATTTGGTCCCAATACCCTTTCGTGCAAGCCAGAATTGTCACAACTTTGCAGGCTATCTCTAGATCACACTTGTGCTCGGAGCCTGTTTTTGCTGACCCTGATTTTCACTGCGCACTGAGTTTTGCCGAGCCTGGGGTCCGTTGTGTTTCTTTTCTGGTACTCTTCTGAAAAAGAGAAAAAAAAAGCACGGCCGGACTTTCAAAACTTTCAAAAAACGACGTACTCACAACCACCAAAAAAGAAAAAAAAATGAACACCCCTCTGGACGCGATACAAGGTAGATACCTGCCCCAAAGTTGTTGTGCCGGTATGCCCTCAGTGAGGGTTTTTCGGCAGGGGTGTCAGGTCCACAGGTCCACAAAAAAAAGAAGAAAAAGAAAATCGGGGAAAACGGGTTCATACATTCTGCAAACTTGCAAAGTTGTAGTGTGGGCATGCCCTCCTTCACAAAGTGTCAGCAGCCTGTGGACTGTGCCGTGCCTACCTGGCAGGGCATGAAAACAACAAAAAAGGAACAAAACAAAAACAGCAGAAACGACAACCTGAAACTGGCCACATTGACAATCGTTAGTTAGATACTTTCTTGTGAGTATTGGTGTGAGCACAACTTCATGCACGGCCTTCCTGGACTTGGTCTTTTGTTTTTCTTTTTGCTTTTCGAAGGGGGCCACAAGGCCTAACTGCCGAGCCTCCGCCGACCTCCGAAAAGTTCAGAAAAAGTGAGAAAACAGTCACTTTTCTCATTTTTTCCAACATTGGTGGAGTTAGTGGTGGTTTGCAGGTTCCCTTCCGTTGTCAAAATCACGTTACTTGTGCGCCTCGGGAGGGATATGAACGGGTTTAACTTACTAAAGATGGGTTGTCGCCATATCTCGTACGAGTGTCATCCTTGCGAAGGGGCCAGGCTTCCAATTTTAAAGGATGTCCTGAAGGACAAGCACTTCTATTCCTCGTATTTCATGATGGCGATTTCCATGGACATTGATTGATGTTGATTTCCATGGAAATTGTGGGATGTTGATTTCCATGGAAATTGTGTGATAGTTATTTGTGTGGAAGTCTGCCTGTTGTTGAAACATATCAAGGCGTCGTCAATACCAGTTTTGCTACATCATTCCAGTGTACCGAGTGCCAATAAGGTTGGCAGCAATCACCGCATAATTTTGACTTACTAAATGCACACACGCTCGGAAGGAAGAGAGAGAGAGAGAGAGAGAGAGAGAGAGAGAGAGAGAGAGAGAGAGAGAGAGAGAGAGAGAGAGAGAGAGAGAGAGAGAGAGAGAGAGAGAGAGAGAGAGAGAGAGAGAGAGAGAGAGAGAGAGAGAGAGAGAGAGAGAGAGAGAGAGAGAGAGAGAGAGAGAGACACGTGTGCACAGAGAATCAGATGATCGATCAAAATTCTGAAGGTGAACAGGAAATGTGAAGTAGTTTGTTTGATGAGACCACCCCACAAAGAACCCACAAAAAAAACCGGAAAGATCATCTACAAACTTGTTCCTAGCATGCTGCAAGTCTCATCCGATGAAAGATCTGTATGAAGCACCACTACACTGAGGCTAATGCACTCACCACACACACATACAGGAGATTGACACAGAATCCCATCCCATCCAGAGCGATATGAACCCACTGCAATCTACAGGAAAATGGCGAAGATTTTACCCTCCCCCCTATTGAAAGACAATCTGTGCACTCTAAGGGGAAAAAAAAGGCGTTCTAAATCTGCGAAGCAGCAAGTGCACCTTCCCAGCTCACTCAGCAGTGGCATTGTCATCAACTCCGCGAAACAAAGTGGAATTAAATCACCACCAACATCCTGAAAATTGATCCAACCCCTTGAGAGTCCAGACAGAAATACAGAACCTGTGGTTGTCGAGATGAACCAGCTGAAGAAGCCCGGGCGGTCGTAGAACATAGTGGTGGTTTAAGCGCACCACATTAAACCAGGAATAAGGTTCATAACCGTAAACTGCAAATACCCTTCACGAATTACCCTTCCCAAATGGCTCGCGACCGTAACACCAGATACCCTTTGCAAATACCCTTCGCCAATTACCCCTCGCAAATGGCTCGCGGCCGTAACACCAGATACCCTTTGCAAAAATACCCTTTGTGAATTACCCTTCGCAAATGGTTCGCGGTGGTAACACCAGATACCCGTTGCAAATACCCTTCGCAAATGGCTGGCGACTGTAACACCAGATACCCTTTGCAAATACCCTTCGCGAATTACCCTTCGCAAATGGCTCGTGAGGGTAACAACAGATACCCTTTGCAAGTACCCTTCGCGAATTGCCCGTCGCAAATGGCTAGCGACTGTAACACCAGATACCCTTTGCAAATGACAAATACCCTTCGTGAGTTGCCCGTCCCAAAGGGCTTGCGACTGTAACACCAGATACCCTTTGCAGATACCCTTTGTGGATTACCCTTTCCAAATGGCCCGCGACTTGTAAGCCCAGATGTCCTTTGTGAATGCGGTTCGTGATAGTAACTGCAAATACTGTTTGCTTACGACAGCGTCGACAGGGAGTACATCCATCATAAGGTCAGTTTTCGAAGTGCGCACCGGCCTCCAGGTCATTCGCTTCGTCGAACAAGGTCAGGTTCTGTTCAAAAGCTTTGGGGAGATGTTCTCTCTCTATGGTATCGATACCCGAGGGGCATTCTTCTCATCACAGGCAAGACGCTAAGCTTCCTCTCGACTGTCAATGGCCGGCATTGCCCTCTCCAACTTTGTCGTAGCTCTGTCCCTTGCATCAAGGAACTCTAGCATTTGTTGGTGAAACATCAGCTCCTTGTGACATTCCTTGCTTTTGATTTCACCAGCCTTTTTCCAAAGACACTGGAGAACACTTCCATGGCACCTCCTCATCAGGAAAGAGCGGCGCAGCGATTTACTTGCCGTGCTGCAAAGCCTGCTGATGTCGCCGGCACACTCCCTCCTCAGCGGGAAGTTGTAGCAATAATCTGATGTGTTGCAATCCCCCGTCATGATGCAGCCGTGTTTATGCATTTATGTGTGAACACCCACGGCAGGCAGGCCACATAGAGAAACATGACCCACATCCATCCGGTGTCACAAAGCATAGCAAGAGATGCATCCACCCAGCCATGACAGAGAACGAACGACAACAAAGTGTCTTCATAATCAGACAGGTCATCGGAGCCCGCGACAGAAAACGCCAACTCCGAAATTGGAACACATGGGGAAACAAACAAACAAACAAAAACCAAGACCTCAAGACTTAAGGGTTTAGTGTTTGGGGTTTATATACTGTGTCGGGGGGTTCAAGGAAGTAAGCCCCTTCCACTGCATACGTGCGACATTGGGGTTTAGGGTTTATGTGTTCCCACAACTTTCCAGTATTGTTGTCTTGAGTTTTAGGGGTTTTGTGTTTCTCCCCCCCCTCCCCCCTGCTTTTTAAAAAGCAAAAGCTAGATTCTTCTCTCAATTCCACCTCACACTACCTACCTACCACTACTCTTAATTATAGTCATACGGGGAACCCCGTAGCAGCCAGAGCCGTGTTCACGAGAGAACATGCGGGGGCTGCTCCCGATCGGCAGGTGGGCGATACCAGCCAGGGGACGGCCGGTGGCATCACGGACCATGCCAACAGGACCAATCCCTGTGCCTCCCCCAGTGCTGTTCTCTTGGGTTTAGGGTTTATGAGTTTACCGTTCAGGGGCTTTAGGATTTCCCTTGACTTGACCGTGTTCTGGAATAAATCAAATGATATAGGCATCATCTAGAGCTTGAGGATGCAAGACCTACCGTCTTCACCCGAATAGGACGCCCGGTAATTATTGCCGTATCTGGACTGAAAGTTGCACCAAATAAAGCTATAATGGCCGGGCATTCTATTTGGGTGAAGATGGTAGTCTTAGGCATTTACGGTCTCAGGGTTAGGATAGAGGTTTTGAGATACACCGGTTATGGGTTTAACGTTTCACTCTTGCCGACGATGAGGGGGTCTTGGTCAAGCATTGAAGCATTCAGGCCCAGAATTATCCATTAACTGGCATTAATGGTGGACATGCAATGGTACGGAGCAGAGTAAGCGGGTCAGCGGATCGAGGCGACAGAACAGCGAAGGCACAACGAGGGCTGGGTGCAAGACGACGGCTTAGTGCAGGCTGGTTGGTCTACAGCAATCAATGCTGCCTGACATCAACTATCTGTAAGTCAGCACAGTACTTGGGAAGCGACAGTTCAGACTGGGTGGGGGGAGGGAGGAACTAGTGAGTTACAGTGTAGGTATCTGGGGCCGGTTCCAAGGTGAAGAGGTCCCCCCCTCCCCTACCTCCTGCTCAGTCAATCCCCTGGATGCCAGGGTAATCAATGCTGGCAGGACTCTCCCACAATGGTTCTTTTTCTGACATGCTGCAAATTCAATCTGTATATGGGACGCTGGGCCCGTTTCCCAGCAGGTGATGCTCCCCACCAATAGATGGAGCCTCTCCCCAGGTGTTAGTGGTGTCTGCTCTTATCAGCACCACTAACACTGGTGGGGGCCTGTTGTTCAAAAAAAAAAAAAAAAAAAAAAAGGTCTTTTATGCATTACCACTTGGTTTAGGTTGTGTTGGGGGACAAGGGGTTAAGCTGTGTTGGGGGAGTTCAAGGGGTTAAGCTGTGTTGGGGGACAAAGGATTTGGGCCCTTTCACTTTTAAGGATTTGGAACAAAAAACAAAGCTTTGCTGCTTCAGGGTCTCAGGTCTAGGTTTTCCGGATAAGGTTTTGTGATTTTTTCTTTCATCAGAGTTTTAAAAACAGTAAGTAAACGTTGGATCCAGGAATGCAGAGTGTTTGACAGGTTAATTAGGGTTCAAGCGTTCATGACTTTCCAATTTCATTTTGCTCTTCAAGGTTTTGAATCAACAGCTTATGGTTTTAACTTTTAAGGTTTAGGGCTGCGTAGCACGGCGAACATGTTTGCGGGCCTTTCCGTTCGGGCGGAACACGTTAGCCCGTTCGTGCGAACGGGTCGAGAACATGTTCGTGAGAACGTGTTTTTGAGGCCTGCGAACGGGTTTTGCCCGGGCCGGTACTGGTCGCCGGCGGGGTTTCGGAGGGCCTGGGGAGTCACGTGTGTGTGTGTGTGTGTGTGTGTGTGTGTGTGTGTGTGTGTGTGCGTGTGTGTGTGTGTGTGTGCGTGTGCGTGTGTGTGTGTGTGTGTGTGTGCTTCTGTGTGTGTGTGCATGTGTGTGTCTGTGTCACACACACACACACACACACACACACACACACACACACACACACACATGCACACACACACACGGGGGCTCTATTCACGACTCTTAGAGCAGGGGGGGGTCAGGGACACAGGCTTATGCCCCCTGACATCTTAAAAAAAAAAAAAAAAAACGTTCGCGTTCGCCATGGCCCGAACATTCTCGGGCGAACGTGTTTGCATTCGTTGGCGCACGCGAACGGCGTGCAACGCAGGTTTAGAGTTTTGTGCGTAAGCTTCTGGGTGTACGGCACGGTTGTTATGCACGATTCCCCAAAAGAAAACCAGCGTCATAAGGTGGACCTCTGCAGGCAGCAGAAGTCAAATTTTCGGAATCTTGGAAATTAAGTCCGCATGCTTCCCATGGTTGTAAATGCGCGAACCACGGAGAAACTGAGATTTTTAAGTCTGCATGCTTCCCATGGTCGTAAGCGTGCGAACCGTGGAGAAACTTGTATTTTGAAGTCCACATACTTCCCATGGTCGTAAGTGCGCGAACCACGCAGAAACTCAGATTTCGAGACATGGGGAGGAGGAGGGAGGGGGGGG